TCTTCTTTGGCGGATGGTGAAGACGAAGTTATAGACACCATTCATACATGAACAGATATGATGCTTTATACATGACATCCTGCTGTAATCGAAAAAGCTTTGGACTATATCACAAAATAAGTAATATTCAATAAGGTTTTCTAACCTGGATTTGACCCCGCGTTTGGACGCATTTTCTCCCTTTTTAACTTCAGTAAAAACTTCATTGACAAAAGTCGTGAAACTCATTTCCGTTGTCAATTAACTGTTTTAGTAAGAACGATTGCGAGTGATGAGCAAATGCAAGACACTCTCAGGCGTGACCTACGGCATTCACAAATCCCCGAGTCCTCAATCATTGACCACACAACGCCGAACACAAAAGCAGCCGGTGAACTTTTATAGTAGCATTTTTATTGAACGCACCGTTGATTGAACCGCATTTACTATCTTACTTTTCAGTAGAATTGAATAGAATTAGACAAAATTTGCGTCATCTTGGTTATAACTTGTTAAGAGAAGTTAAGTGAAGTGAAAAGTACTTTCTGATTGTTCATACTTACTTGCATTTGCTGACTTAGACTCAATTATCGCGGACCCTAGTTACAAAAGCCCTACAAGAAGCGAGAGCCAGTTAGGCGACCAAGGGAGCGAAGTTGCTGTCGTCCCGGTAAGTCGAAACCCGTTGGCTCTAATTACGAAAGCTTCCATAGATGTATTTCCACGATAACTTGTCGCCTGCTACTTTGTAAAAACCTTAAGACAACTCTTAAGAAACACAGAAAGCTTTTAATTCTTCTATACACAAGCTAACTGTCGTCGAAAATGTCAAACAAGAAGACTGGTATGGCTATCACGCATCCAACTGAGGCTAGCACGTAAGAGCATCAGCAGTATTGCGTAACTTAATAGAAGAAGCATGCAGGAAACGTATGGCTTTGGAAAGAGCTGCAACTTCGTTCTCAACCAGACCGTCTTGCAAACGTTAAGGACTCTCAACGGATAGCAAGATAGACATCCTAATAGCTTTTGTGCATAATTGCCCGCGAAACAAGGTCACAGGTGTGAAAAATGCCTTCGTAATCAGATGGACTGTTGGCCGCTGAGCAAAGTACAAGTGATATATACATACACACTTATGTGTTATACCGTACTTCCGCATAAATACTAGGTAAAAGCCCAGACACGTGTTTCGCCGAGGTTTCTGCTGCTGTATGATACAGCAACTAGGGGTTCAGCTCTTCAGTGGGGCCCCCAACGTTCTCTATGCGGTTTCTAGTTCATCGAAATCTAGGGTCTGGCCCTTAAAAGTCATT